ATCAGTGATATTGGCCTGTAATTTTCTTTTTTTGTGTTGTCCTTGTCTGGTCTGGGTATCAGGATAATGTTGGTTTCATAGAATGAGTTAGGAAGCCTCCCCTCCTCTTCAATTGTTTGTAAGAGTTTGAGAAGGATAGGTATTAAGTCTTCTTTGAATGTTTGGCAGAAGTCCAGGGAAGCCATCTGGTCCTGGACTTTTATTTTTTGGGAGGTTTTTGATTGTTGTTTCGATCTCCTTGCTGGTGATTGGTCTATTCAAATGCTCTACTTCTTCTTGGTCCAGTTTTGGAAGGTTGTATGTTTCTAAGAATTTATCCATTTCTTCTATATTATCCAATTTGTTGGCATATAGCTTTTCATAGTATTCTCCTATTATCTTTTATATTTCTTAGGTGTCCATTGTAATTTCTTTTCTTTCCTTTCTGATTTATTTATTTGAGGCTACTCTCTTTTTTTTCTTGGTAAGTCTAGCTAAGGGTTGGTCAATTTTGTTTATCTTTTCAAAGAACCAGCTTTTGGTTTCACTAATTTTTCTACTGTTTTTTTAGTCTCTATTTTGTTTATTTCTGTTCTGATTTTTATTATTTCCTTCCTTCTGCTGGTTTTGGGATTTGTTTGTTCTTCTTTTTCCAATACCTGTAGATGCATTGTTAGATTGTTTATTTGGGATTTTTCTTCTTTGTTGAGGTAGGCCTGAATTACTGTAAACTTTCCTCTTAGAATGGCTATTGCTGTATCCCATAGATTTTGGCATATCGTTTTTTCATTTTCATTTGTCTCCAGGAATTTTTTAATTTCTCCTTTGATTTCTTCATTGACCCAATTGTTGTTCAGTAGCACTTTGTTTAATTGCCACATTTTTGTGGCTTTTCTGATTTTCTTCCTGTAGCTGATTTCTAGTTTCATACCTTTGTGGTCAGAAAAGATACATGGTATTATTTCGATCTTCTTAAATTTATCGAGACTTGTTTTGTGGCCTAATATGTGATCAATCCTGGAGACTGTTCCATGTGCACTTGAAAAGAATGTGTATTTTGTAGTTTTTGGATGGAATGTTCTATATACATCTACTAAGTCCATCTGGTCAAATGTGTTGTTTAAGGCCAGTGTTTCCTTACTGATCTTATGTTTGGATGGTCTATCCGTTGGTGTAAGTGGAGTGTTAAAGTCCCTTCCTATTATTGTATTACTGTCTATTTCTCCTTTTATGTCTGTTAATAATTGCTTTGTATACTTATGTACTCCTATGTTGGGTGCATAGATATTTACAAGTGTTATATCTTCTTGTTGGATTGTTCCCTTTATCATTATGTAGTGCCCTTGTTTGTATCTTGTTACAGTTTTTGTTTTAAAGCCTATTTTGTCTGATATGAGTATTGCTACCCCCACTTTCTTTTCTTTGCCATTTGCATGGAATATCTTCTTCCATCCTTTCACTTTCAGTTTGTGAGTTTCTTTAGGTCTGAAGTGTGTCTCTTGTATGCAGCATACATATGGGTCTTGTTTTTTTATCCAGGTGGCCAGCCTATGCCTTTTGATTGGAGCATTTAGTCCACTGACATTTAAAGTAGCTATTGATAGGGGGCTGGGCTGGTGGCACAGTGATTAAGTTTGCATGTTTCGCTTCAGCAGCCCAGGATTAACCGGCTTGGATCCTGGTTGCAGACATTGCACTGCTGGGCAAGCCATGCTGTGGTAGGCATCCTACATATAACGTAGAGGAAGATGGGCACAGATGTTAGCTCAGGGCCAGTCTTCCTCAGCAAAAAGAGGAGGATTGACAGCAGATGTTAGCTCAGGGCTAATCTTCCTCAAAAAAAAAGACCTTAGGATGGCTCCTGCCTGGCTGGCTGAGAAACTCTGCTGCTCCTGAAGGTGGCTTTTTTTTGTCTCCAGAAGAAATTTCTGCCTCTTCTGCCTTAGTCAATTGTCCCTTATTATTATTTTTTTTTAATCCAGTTTTCAGTTTTCTATCCAGGGTAATTTTTCCAAAAATAGTTGCAACCTGGTTGTGTTCATGGGAGGAGATGAGTTCAGAGTCTGCCTACACCACCATCTTGATGAGATGTCTCTAATTGGAACCAATTTTAAACATAACATTGTATTAGCTAAAAGATATATTCCATAAAAATCTTATTTAAAAGTTGGTGCCATAGATAGCTACGCTAGTTTGTTTTTAGTTTTTTTAAAGTAATACACTTCTCAATTTTTGTTTATGGCTTTATAATTCCTAGCATTGTGTTCCTATGAGAATTTTTCCCAAGCCAAATAAATATCCCCTCTCATTCGCAGTTGCTTACTTGGAAATATATAGTGTTCTTTTCTGTCTGTGCATTTGTGTGTCTAGTATATGTGACAGTTCCCTCTGATGTAAAAGAAAGAAAAATAATGAAGACCAGAGAAGGACACGGGTAAATGAAATACAAAAGTCTTCAATGCTTAGGATGTTCTTTTGTATCTTATCATTTCCATTGAATTTTCTGATAAAATATATTAGTTTTGAATTTCCCTCAAATGTTAAAAGTTTTAAAGGAAGTTATCTCATTCTTTATTGTTTTTTGTTTAGAGTACAATCATCTGCCGTTCTTAAATGTGAAACCCATGCTATTCATTCATTCAAAATGAAGATTTACACTAATGTGAATAATCTATATCTCGGATCATTACCTTGTGTGTAGTCTTTCAAATTCCCATGCACTGCAAAGTCAGTATATGTCTCCCACTATGAGAGCGGGGAATAGAGCTCACATTCTGCCATTGAGAAAAAACAAAGAAGAAGCTGTGTTCATTGTAGGAGACTTGGGTAAGGAAACAATGGATCTGAGAAACTTGCTTTTTTAAAATAAGGATTATATCCTCACTTATTAAGATAGGCTACAGTAATGATTATCAAGATATACTGATTATTTTTAGTCAGTGATTACAATGATCAGGTTATAAATGCTGATTCTTGGCACTGTAGAGGAGCCTGGAAGTGTGCTCATCTGGTAATGAGTTTTTATTTCAGTCAAGCAGGGCATACCACATCATAAAAATGTGGCAGACGTTTTCAAAGATTAAAAAGGTGAATAACTTTCCTTGTTCTTTGTCTTTTTTTGATTTTCCCCAAACAACAAACACATTCATAACTTATTTTTTCAAGTAAACCAGAAGATATTTTACATTATTTTAGCAAGTCAATTTCTTCACGCTTTATTGATACAGATAATATTGATTCACATCAAATCTCATAGTATTTTTGCTTGTAAAAATAAACCTGTTAATCTAACAGAAAGTTCCTACTTTCGCATTGATAGACGATCATTATTACTCTAATTAAATCCAACTAAATGTAGTTGGAGTATAATCCAGAGCGCAACGTTCTTTTTTTTTAAAAAAATGCAAAATCTAGTTACTTCTGCAGAATTTATGTGTCACATAAAGGCCTTGAGTTGGGTGAAGTCTTTTTCCTTTTTTGAGCTTTCATTCAACAATGGAATTCTTACTGTCACTAGTTTCCTCACTAGAAATACTTTCAAATTGGCTAGACCATCTTCAGTAGTAGATTTGGTCCAATGTTTTTTCCCTGGGAAATTTCAAGGATTTCCAAATATCCATCTCAAAAATTTTTGAAGGGCTATTTATGAAAAGATGTAATTAAAGTCAATAGAAACTTTGGCTGGGGAGCTAAGCATGTATGTGTAAAGTGAGAGAGAGAGAGAAAGAGAGAGAGGCAGGTGGGGGAAAAGAGAAGAAACCTACATCAGATGGATCTCTCACTCCTGGAAATAGGATTTGTTTCTAGAAACACCTTTAGTGGTTAAATGCACTAAAAATAGTGCTAGATTTGGGAAAATATGTATGGTTTTAGAAAGACACTGGTTTATAATCTTGATAAAATGATGTCAATGTTATTTTCACTTTTTTTTGGAAAAGCAGTGCAGAGGAATCTATTGTACCTGAGTTATATGGATAGACATGGTCTGAGTTTTTTTTTTTCTTTAGTAATGCACTGTGAAGTAAACACATGTAAAATATTGACATAACCCTTTATTTTCAGTTAGCAAATTTATAGATAATTATAGCATAGAGAAGATTCTAATCATAAGAGTGAAGGAGAGGAGGTTACTGTAGGCTGTTTCATGTCTTTTAAAAGCCCATTGCAGAGAAAGACCCATTTCAGACAGAGAATGACAAATACTGTATGATCTCACTTATATATGTAATCTAAAAAACAAAACAAAACAAAGCCCAACTCATGGATACAAGAACAGATTGGCAGTTGCCAAAGGCAGAGGTTTGGGAGTGAGAGAAATGGGTGAAGGTCAAAAGGTACGAAGTTTCATTTATAAAATAAATAAGTCCTGGGAATGTAATGTACAGCATGGTGACTATAGTTAATAATACTGTATTTATATTTGAAAGTTGCTAAGAGAGTAGATCTTAAAGGTTCTCCTTACAAGAAAAAAAATGTGTACCTATGTGGTTATCGCAATATACACATACAATATGATCATCATCTTGTACACCTGAAACTAATAAAATGTTATATATCAATTAAAAAAAGAAAAAACCCATAGTTATTGATCTGTCATTCCAGTTTTGCCAGTTCTTTCAGGTATCCTTTACATAGTATATTTGGTTTTTCAAATAGAAATGTTGCCAGCTCCAAGTAGGTGTTGGTAGCTCGAGACAGTGTTAAGAAAAGACTAGCTGGAGGGGACCGGCCCATGGCAGAGTGGTTAAGTTCACATGCTCCGCTTTAGTGGCCCAGGGTTTTGCCAGTTCGAATCCTGGGCGCTGACATGGCACCACTCATCAAGCCATGCTGAGGCGGCGTCCCACATACCACAACTGGAAGGACCCACAACTAAAAATACACAACTATGTGCCGAGGGGCTTTGGGAAGAAAAAGGAAAAATAAAATCTTTAAAAAATAAAAAAAGACTAGCTGGAAAATTTAACTGTATTTACTGGACAGTGAAAGTGATTTATCTTTGATTTGTGACCTTCTCTCAGCACCCGAGTAACTTCTTACTCAAGAAGGCCCTGTGTCTCTGAAGGTGGCATGTACGAGCGGGCAGAGAACACCAGGGAGCTTGCTGGAAATGCGGAATCTCAAGACTCACTTTAGGAAAGATCCCCAGGTGATTTACAGTCATTGAGAGCTTATAAGAACTACTGCCTTAGAACACAGTGACTTCTAGAAAAGATTGAAATAAACCGTTAAATTTGGCGCAAATGATAACCTTGGTTTTAGTAAACTGTTTACTTTTTCCTATTGTATAAGATGATCTCAAATCATATTCTTTCTTAATGCAATTAGGCATAAAATTTGAATTTTGTTGTCCCAGATCGTAGCTAATGAAAAGACTATTTCTGGTTTAAAAAAAAGAGACTTGCCAGCTCATTACTTCAATTAAATGAAAATTGTAGTCATGGACTTAAGCTGTGGGAATTCAGTTAGGCATATGTTCAATAATCCTCCAGATAATTCTGGAAAACTATCGCAGTAAAGGTTTGGTGAAATTGTGACATCTTAGGAAAAAATATTCCAATATTTGCATCATATATATTTCAGTTTAACTAGATGACAAACATATGCCCTGTGCTTTATAACATCTAGTCCTCAAATATTTAAGCAGAGCAAGAAAGAATAGAAAAAGAGAAAAATCTCACAAGAAATGAGCAGCTTAAGGCTATTTTTTTCTCCTGTAAGCTGTGAAAATCTCTGTTGAGAATGCCATAATTTCTTACAGATTGTCATTTCCTTTGGTTATTACCATGTGAAATAATTTAACAGGAGCTCATGTATTTCCAGGAGATGCAGAGAAGACTGAGAAGTACTAACTCTTTTATCAATGCAATGCACCTCCAGAGTAAAGTGCAGGAAACAGCCACATTAGTAGAAGCCGGTCAGCTCTGAAGCTGCTTCCATGTACAACCCTGCCAACACAGCCTGATGGGAAGGGCTGCCGGGGGAACCAGCCAAAGAACTGTCGCCAAGTTCAGCCTAGTGTCTCCTACTGGAAATGTCTCCTTACTCATTGCATGAGGATCTAGCATATGCAATGACTGTACATGAACAGAAATACAAAAGGAAGAAAACGTAGCTCACCCAGCAGAGAAATTAAAAAGGCACCAAGAGGCAACATGTCATGCAGGCATATGATATATACGAGCCCGTGCATAAGGCAGCCTCTTATTAACCACATGTGTGTTCTTCACATACCTCTTTGGGCTTCAATTATCTTATGAGGAGCTTAGAGTACATCATTGATTCTCATCTCCGGCTGAACATTAGATTTATCTGAAGACCTTTAAAAAATACCCATATATTACTCCAATTCTAATAAATCAGAGGCTTTGAATGTACATCCAAGGCATAGATTTTTATTTATTAAGCTCCCTCAGTGATTCTATGTACAATCAGGCATTAGGAGCACTGAACTATATAATCATTTAAGTCTCTTCCACACTTAATTTTCCATGCTTTCTAGGAAATCACCTTCTCTCCTAGTTTTCCCCATCCTCTCCACTTCTTTGCAAAAATACCCGATTTACAGATTGAAGAATAAGAAAGAAATGATCGACATTATTTTAGCCACACATTTATTTTTTGTTTGCTTTTTGTTGTTGTTGTTCCTCAACAACAATCTTTTGCCAATCTTTGCCTTCTTTTTACTTGAGGAAGATTTGCCCTGAGATAACATCTGTGCCAAGCTTCCTCTGTTTTGTATGTGAGCTGCCCCCACAGCATGGCTGCCAAGGAATGGAGTAGATCTGCCCCAGGGAACCGAACCTGGGCTGCCAAAGCAAGCATGCCGAACTTAACCACTAGGCCACAAGGCCAGCCCCCAGCCACAAGAGTTATAAATAAATATTTGCTTTCTTTGTAAGCATATGACTCCATGGTTGCAAACCCAAATAAACTACATCAAGAAAAGCTATTTCATACGGAAAATGGAATAGCTGGGGAGACAAGGTATAGCTAAGACTTTCTAGTTAGTACCTTATCCTGGAATCATAGCCTTTTTAGCCCAGGGTATTCCAACAGGAAGATTTTTGGTACAATCCTCAGTGAAAGCATTCTGCTTGACCAGATCCAGGCTCTGATTCAACTGTTAAGATTTAGTAGAATTTATTATAAGCCCTCTCAGACATACCATGGGTAATTTTCCAAATATTCCCTAATAAGAACTGAGCCCAGGGGATTTTGTGGCATTTCTTATGGTACATGCAGTGGTAAGAAGAATTTAACTACAATATGGATCCCAGGTCTGAGTTCCATAACAAAGACAGGATTAGTAAACACTGAGTACTTTCTGGAAAATAGTCAGAGAAAAGGCTAAATGGTTGAAAACTATAACATCAAAGATAGCCAAAAAATATATAGCTATTAAGTAAAAATCCTGAAGTCCTGATGTGAAATTGGAAGGATTGTGAACCCAAACTATACTTTAACGAAAGCACGTGTTTCCTAGTTTTCATTACCAAAAAGCCTGGAAACAATGACCAACTCAGTAGTAATGGACACACACTGGCTAATAAATTGTGGTCTTTAAATACCGTTTTTCACTAAAAGGAACCAGGGCTTCTTGAAGAAATGGCTGATTAAATATCTGGGGCCAGAAATGTTCAGAAAGAACTTCAAATATCTTGACATAGCAGAAAACAAGAAAGTTCTTAAAGACTACTAGGTTATGACAAAAGAACTCAGGGGCCAATGAGAATTAACTAGGATAGCAAACAATGTGAATTGATAAGAATAATTACTGCAAGGAGTTAAAATGAATAAAGTACATGAAAGCCGTAAGTTCATAATAATAGCAAAGAAGCAAAAGATGAGCTCAATTTTACATTTGGAGGGTGCTAGGGAACAATTCATTATTTTAAGGCAGGTGAATTCACAGGAGAAATTAGGTATTAACTTTCTTTTTTTGCATAATATTTACATAAGGATAATGCAATAGTTGATGAAATGAAGTTTATGAAAGTGTTGTAGCCAACAAATGAAGAAGTAATGGTGGATTTAGAGCATCGACATTTTTCAACCTCTAATAATGCATCGATTTGAGCACAATAATCTATGGACACTAACATTACAAAAACAAAGGCAGGCAGACGTTAGAAATAGTCTCACTAAAATGATTAAACCTGAATCTTACCACACTCCTTGTTTTAACTAGCAAGAGGGAAATACAGAGGAGAGATGCTAAAGGATACTATGAGGCCTAAATAAGTAAAATTCAAATAATTGCAGAAAGAACTTGATTTCTTCACAAAATATTTCAAGAAAGTTAAAAGTTAAGAGATGCAGCAAATAATTCTAGGATATAGGCTTATAGATACAAGCAACATATCAACAAATTACAATATATGTACCTACCATATGTATAAACTGTAGAGCTAAGAATATACACACTTGTGTGTTTTCATAATGTACATTTATAATACAATAGAGAAAACGTGAATACTTATTTAATATTTGATGATGTGTGTGAAATATTCTTCAAAATAATCTGGAGGGGGTGAAAGGTTATAATATGAAAAAGTTTGGCCATAACTTAATGATTATTGAATCAAGGTGACAGACACATGCAGATTCACTATACTTAACATTTGTCTGTTTGAAATTTTGTACAGTTTAAAATGAATCACTTTATTGTCAAGTCTCAGTAAGTTCATCTATCAAACAATAATAATACGTGACAATTATTTTCATGTACTTGAATATTTTGCAAAATTTCTACCTGCCCTATACATTTAAAGAGAAATCATATTAGAGATTTTTCAGAAACTAAATTGCTATATGATCCCAACTCAATAATTTACCTGAAAATAGTGCTAATGCTTAAAGGAGGACTCTCTTGGTAGTAAATCATCATTGATAAGGCAACTTTAAAGAAATTACATTTAAAAAGAAGTAATGGAAAAATATTTACTTCTTAGCATACTCCTGACGGGTTAATGGGGGCAGCGATTACTCTAGCTTGATAGATTTGTGGAGAGCAATTAGGGCTACGGATTATCACCAACACAGCAGGCCTATGACTTTGATCATGTCGATGAAGTCTTATCATTTGTGAAATAAAGGGTTTAAACTAGGTTTTCTTGAATGTGATTGTCATGATCAGTATTGAACATTTACAATAGACTGAAAGATAGATAGATAGATGATTGATAGATAGGATAGATAGATGTAGATCTGTAGAAGTGGCAAAAGTTGGAAGTGGACTCAGATTTGTCTGCCCAACCCATTGTGCTGAAATAGTATAATGCCTTTTAATGCTACTTATAAACTTAACCGTGATGAAAGGCAGAAAGGGCAGCTTGTTGTCTGTATGTTAAAGAGATTCTAGCTGCCACCACCATTCACAAACACTGTTTCCTGTAACATAGTGTTCAGTTGAGATTGAAGCATTTCTCCCAGGAATCTTTCAGAGACTCAAGTTTGTAGAGATGAAACATTGGCCTTCATCTTTCAGTTCCGACTTGAGTCATAGCTCTCTAAACTTCTGTGGTTACTCAGACCAAGTGACCAGAGGACCTTTGCAGTTTGGATCAGGTGCTTTCTCTTTATTCGTGTTTGTCCTCAGGTGTATGACATTTAATGTGGGATTGTTGAGATGGAAGTCTAGCTTGCTACTTCAGAGGAGTTGTGCACATTTTCCTGGAGAGAAAATTAATTGTAGAACAAAAAGAAGAAAAAATATAATGGAAAGAAAGAAAAGCACCATAAACTGTCTTTCCAGGGATCTTTAGAAGTTTGAATATCACCTGGAGAACAATACTTGTTCTGATTGAGACTGCTAGCTTCCAAATGTCTCTGCTCTTGTTAGAGGAAATTGTTACTTAGCATTATTAATGATATTTAATCATTAATCTTACGTTTTCTTATAGAATTATGTTCTGTCAAATAATCTATTTTGAAGTCAGTTTCCTCATTTTGAAATAAAACTTTTTTCATGATATGTCTCATCTTCATTTATCCTTCCTTTAGAAATCTTGCCTCTGTCCTTCTCTCCCTTGGAACACTCCTCCCAGGTTGTCCCGTAGTTGGCGCCTTCTCATCATTTAGGACCTTGTGGACTGCTAATAGGTAGCAATTACTCTCATCTTTCCCTCGTTCATTACTTCTTAGTATTAAAACTTATTAAAAAATCACCATGTTAATTTACTTTGCTGGTATATTGTCTGTCATTCTAGAAAGTTCCCTGAAAGCAGGGACATTGTCATATCCCTTATGTGACTCCCATAGCTAGCACATGGCGGCACTTGTTAATAATGAATAAACGTTAGATGAAACTTATCTTTTAATATACATTCCAGAGATTGATCATAACATCCACGTTGTCATCAATAGACATATATTTTAAAATTGAAAAGTTACTCAATTATCCAGAAAATTCGATAAAAACACTGGAGTCAATGTTTTTCAAAAATGTGCTTTAAAGTCCTATCAGTGATGGGCTAGGTCAGGTTAGAGGAGTCAGATATTAGGAGAATAGTGATTGGTTGCTGGTATCCAGAGAGGTATGACAGCTGACTTGGTGATTCACTCTAGCAGTCACTGTGTTTGGGTTTAAGAAGAAGAACAGGTAAATGTCCCCACAGGCAGAACAGCACAACAAAGACACCGCAGCCTGTGTGAGTAGGAGAGGCCCAGCGAGTGCCAGGAGCACGTCATTCTAGGAAGAAATGGACCAGGGAGTGGGGCCCTAGGCTACAAGTGCAGTTTCAGAGCAGGACTTGAGTGAGGGGGCTGGGTAGGGTGGGGAACTCTGTCTCCTAGGCTTTAATGTCCAATGTGGGGGCAAAGTGGAAACACGCATTCTTGTATCAACAGATGACTTATATTGTTTTTACTCTATTTTTTAAGTCTGCTCAATTTTGAAAACGTCTCCTTACAAGTACTGACCAAGAACAGTTGGTTCAAGGCCATGATGGAACTCAAAGGCAAAAGGAAAAGGAGATGGCTAAATGCAGGTAAAGGAAGCAGAGAGCGGACAGGCCATTGCAGCTTTATTTAGTGAAAAGTAGTGAAGGATGTTGGGTGGCAATCATTTATAGAATCTGTGTTTGGTTATTCATCTTGATAAACACACCTCAAGGACCAGCATCAAGTTCAGTGACAGCCTGCTCAATGAGAAGATAATATAATTTAGGAAAAGTCTAACTTTTTGCAAAACTGTAAAATTAATAAGGACAAAAGAGTGAATTTTGTCGGTTTTTTGCAATACCAAAATAAGAAAGTCAAAGCTTGAAAAATAGGTCTTTCCCAAATGGGTTTAAAAGGGGGCACGCTCTCCCTCTTTTCTGGGCATGTGAATTAGATTAGAATATTATCGCT